ATTCACATTGATTTGGATAGAATTTTCTTACTTGTAGCATCAGATTTACCTGATGAAATATTTTTAACCAGCTTTAGTTTTCAGTTGCAGCAAGAGGTTATTTTCAGCCACCCTGTTTAATCAATGACCAGTGAAAATAGATGTATCTACTGATTTCATTATTAGTCTTTTCCCATGTGTGCATGTCAAGATTTTTTTTAAATACGATCTTGATAGGACTAGCATAACTCAAATGATCATTTGAATGTCTATCTCTTCTCCAAGTTCTTTGTAACATTTTAAGTTGCAAAAATTTAATATTTTGTTTTATTTTGTTTTGGTTTGGTTTTTGGTCACCCTCACCTCCCCTCCTAAAAGTACTGTCCACAAATAAATAATGCTCCTGTTACTCTTATGAAGTGTCAAGGCCAGTGCTAAGTACTCCATATATGTCATTAGCTTTTATAAGACCCTATGAGGAAATATTTTTATTTTATAAATAATGAAATTGTGTCTCAGAGAAAAGACTATCTTCTGCCTCCCCCAAGTCTTCTGAAAATCCTCATTAAACATTCTTCCTCAAAGGAGGGTATTATTCTTAGGATTGAGCTATACTTGTAAAGACTCTAGGGAACGAGATTTCCTTTCTTCACTAACGTAACATTTTGGGCTTCATCCTCTCCCTCTCCCACCCCTCCTTCCTCCCCTCCGCTCCTCTATCCTCTCCCTCCTCCTGTCTCTCTTTCTTCTAATCTCTCTCTCTCTCATACACACAAACAAAAACATACATGCACATGCTTTTGAAAAGAATCTCTTATAAGAGAGAATATTTTATTATGAATTTTCAAGTCATTTTCTCACAATATTTTATGAAGGAATTGGAAATAAAAACACCATAGAAACAGCTTTATACCATACGCCAGTATAGGTAACATGCGTACTCAACTTCATGTACCTCTGTATAATCATGGTGATTAGAGAACAGTCAAATTGATTGAATAGAGAAGTTGCTGGCAAGGTGAGGAAAGGGAGGAAAAGGGCTATGTGACAATTATTCTATATATGCAAGCAGCGCATATAACACTATGTTATACACCCACAAGTATAGTTTAATGAGCCGTTTGTTCAAATGGTTCGTTCTAATTAAATTTGCTAATTTAAACAGTCCCTCTGTAGTACATTAATAATAGTTTTTGTTTGTTGAGGTGAACAATTCTTTCTCTTATTTCAAAGTATAAAACAGAATATATGAGCATAAGATTAATTAGTCAGAAAAAATAGAACTGTATCAAAGATAATTGTATGTCAATTAAGTAAACTGTATGATTGAGAAAAAAATAAAAATATTGAACATGAAAATAAAACTCGTAATTATAGATTGTCCTGTTAGACATCAAAGATATAGGACAAAATAGATAAAAACATATGACTAACCAAACATTTCTATTTTTAAAAAGGGAAGTATAAATACCTAATTATTGTTGTAGTTACAATTCTGAACTTTGGGCTAAATTATTGTTTTAGGTGAGAATCTCAGAAAAATTAGGGACCATAAATAAAAGAACATATATTTGAATTTCCCAAATTATTTTTCTGTATTATTTCATTTACATTAAAACAAACCCCTTCATTCATCCATTTGTTCATTGGGCAACTACTGTGTGCCAAGCCCTGTGCCAGGCAGTGGGAATTCAACGGTGACCAAGTTTACAGTCATGTAGACGAGCTCACTGCTAGTGGAAGTGTTCATATGCCTAAAAGTTTTATTAGATCTTATTTAACAAGTGCTTTTTTACCCCTAAAATAAAAGCGTCATAATTAGGTAATCATGTTGTTTAAATTGTTCCTAGTGTCCAATCTGTAGACACACAACTGCCATAAAACTGGTATCAACATAAATTTCTCTAGTTTAAAAAACTATTAAGGGAATACAACATTAATTATTCTCAGATGCAAGCATTTTTATACATACCTTTTTGGAAAGAGAGTTCATTAATGCGCATTAGATTTTCACATTTTTAATTTTTTAAGAGTTTAACACCTAAATTTAATCTCCTCTCCAAAGGTTCTGTCCAGCCATTCATAGTTCGTTTCAGATAATCCCTATCCTATTATAAAATTCAGAAGATTCCGGTAATTAATCCTAGCAATCTTAAATTTGAGTTTGAGAATATACAAATGAATTATGTACTTCATAAATACATCTTATTAAAAGAGCCAACTTTGTTTAATGTTATAAATAACACTGATAACCATTTGGTGGACAATTTCAGGACAGGATCTTGATGGCATCAAAGACCTTGAAACAAAGCTAGTATTATTACACTATAGTGTAGAATTCTCATGCATGATTCTGATTCTTACCAGATCCTTTTAGGTGTCAAAAATGTCACTCTATCCAGTGAGCAAGCTTAAATAATTGAGTGTTTTCTTAGTACTAAGGGAGAATCATTTCTTACACATTTTTCCCTACTATTTTAGGATTGAAATTACCATTGTTTTAACTATGTGATTATTCTCTGATCTTATTAGGGAATGAGCAATCTCATAAACAGTATACATATTTTCCCTCAAACATTCTCATTTGACCACTTTATATTATATATTTTCAGTTAACAGTCCATCAAAAGATTATAGGAGGAGGGTGGGATGGGTGGCCCATCTTTCAGTGTCATGTAGTAAAAGGATTATTTTACTACATAGAATTTATCTAAGATACAAGATATTTTAAAGATGTGTTAACTCTAAGTATAATAATACTATAGTAATTAGAAAAAACAGTAACTCCAATATTTTTCCAAATACGGGTTTGTATTATAATTGTGGCCTTATAATAATATTATTTTGTTTCACCTACTCAAACTAATTTAAAATTCTCTTTCCTTAAAAAGAGGTCTAAATAATTCTGAAATCATCAAAATTAATTATATGGCACATAAGGGTATGGGTTTGAATATCACAGCTACCTAGAAGCTTGGAGACCTGGGGTAGGTTACATAAACCTTCTGAGCCTCGAGAGAAAGGAAATTGTATGATATCATGTAAGGGTGTAGAGTAGCAATAGCTACCACTTACATCGATGGCATTTATTTCTACCACCAGTCTCTATTTTAAGTGCTTAATATGCATTAATTCAATACTCACAACAACCTTATGAGGTGAGAAAACTGAGGTGCTTAGAAGGTACTTAACTTGTCCCAGGCCACAGATTTTGTAAGTGAAAGAGCTGGGCTTTTAACCTAAGCAGTCTGGTCTTAGATCTAGTGCTTTTAGTCACTACATAAATGGCCTCTCAAAAAGGTTAAGACAATGTGTATAAACATAGTTTGAGAATATAACTACCCTTAAAAATAATAGATCCTATCATGATCAAGATAGCAATTATAACTAGAGAAACAAACCTCTTTCATACAATTGCTAAAGGAGAATCTAGGTGATAAAAGATAAAGTCAGGAGAAAATAAATCAAAAATCTATTACAATCAATGTATTTCACTAGTAATGGCCTCTCGAATAAGATACTTTCATTTTAGACTTTTTTCTCTTTTTTCTCTCTTCTTTCACATAACCAATTTGTTGTTAGAATTACATATTGCCTTCAGAATTGCTCTCGGGATTGTCTTTTTTTTTTCTCCTGAGAGATTAATAAATCCCTCACAGCTGGATTAATAAAACAAGAATTTGGAGCAAGAGACATGACTGTCATTGTCAAAAGGAAAGAGCCAACTGTCATAAAGAAGTCCCTTTGAACTTAAATATTTTAATTGCTCTTCAAATCTGAAATGAGAAACTGTACTGGCTGTAAAGCTATGAATCAGTGCTAGCGGCTTGTGGTGACTGTGCCCAAGATGGCACTAGGGTTCTAGAAGAAGAGGAAGAAAGAGGCATTTCTCTTTCCAGTCACTGCCTTGTGTGGTCACTAAGTCTTGCAGTCCTGGGGCTGTTCTGCATAACATATGGGAAAGTGAGGATCAAATAGGTATAGAATTCTAAAATTCTGTACATTTCATCCTATAAGCAAGAAACACATATACTCACTTTTTTATTGTAGATGTCACCAAGCATCGTACTTGCTCTCACAACATCTAGCCACTGAAAATTGTTTTGTGAAATTTTCACAACTTTTTTCAAGTATTTAATTGCTTCTGTCATTTCTCCTTGGCTAAAATAAAGAAGATAGGAAAAAATTGGAGTATCGTTTCACTTCATGTCATAGTGAAGAGAAGATAGTTTGTGTCTTTGCTTTGGAAAGTACAAGATGGGTATCAGGATAACCAAATTGAAAGCGAAATATCAAATTTAAGAAATATGTCACTTGTTTTTGAGAGAATATATAGTAAGTTAAAATTTAAACCTTTAAACCTACATGCACTGCCAGTGGAAATGTAAACTGAAGCAGCAGCTCAGAAAAACAACTTGGCCATTCCTCGCAAACTGTAACACACAGCGGCCATAGACCCAGCTATTCCACTCCTACATAGACACCCAAGAAAAATGAAAATGCGTCCACGTGAAAACTCGTACATGCATGTTCACAGCAGCATTATTCTTAACAGCCAAAAAGTGGAACACAACCCAAAAGTCTATCAGTTGGCGATGGATAAACAAGATGTGGCATATCCACACAATGGAATATTATTTAGCCAAAAAAAGGAATGAAGTACTGATACATGCTATAATATGGATAAACCTTGAAGTTAAAGAAACCAGTCACAAATGGCTGCGTATTGCATGATTTCATTTACATAACATATCCAGAATAGGCAAATCCATAGGGACAGAAAGTAGGATAGTGATTTCCAGAGGCTGGGCAGGGGTGGCGCCTGGGGAGTGGCTGCTAAAGAGCATAGAGTTTCTCCATGCAACGTTTGTAATATACTTATACTAAAAACAATTATTTGTTTGTCTGGGGGTCAGGTACTGAGACTGAGGTTTCTGCTCACCCAAAGCTGGCTCTTTCCAGAGTCTGTCCAAGGCCATCCTCTTTCCTCTACTATATGCTTACAAGGGGCAATTTCATTTACTACTATGGCATACCTTAACTCATGTGTCACCTAATGATAAAGCTGAGGGCATTTTTGTAATCCCTCTTTAAGAAATGCCTTCATAGTGTAGTGTTACTATAAAGCATTCATAAGTAATTTAATCGATTTTGTTCCCAGAATGGAGTTACCCCTAGAGAGTATCACGCGTGTGACTAAATCCTTTTGGCTGTTTCCAAAAATCGAACCCACCTTTCAAACAATGATGTGCTGCTATGGGGGTCTTTCAAATGGATACGTCATCAGGTCAGAAAGCATTTCAAAGAAGGTTAATTTTAAACAGGTAGTGGCAAGATTAGAGGTATTGACTTGCATAACTTTCCAAGATTTGACGAGGACAGCATTCATTTTCATAGATAAGCAGTGGTATGTTTGTAAAATTAAGTTAGAGTGCTTTCAAGTCACAGTGCGCTATGGCGAATATTAGAAAGATCTAGGCTCAAATCCCAGCTTGGCCTGTTAGGTAAATAACTTTGTGCACATCTGCATTCTTTCTCGACTTTAGTTTCCTCATTTTAAAATGGCCATAAAGTGTTGTGAGATGAAAAAGTACATATATGTAGAGCCTGGCACATAGTAGAGATTCAACAAATGGCAGCTAGTATTATTACTACCTCTCAGTGAAGTGAAAAGCTCTCATATCTATGCCTTTGCACTTGATATTATCTACCACCAGTCAAAAAGAGAAGTCAATTTAGCTAAGCATTACTTTTTGAAAGTATTTCATTATGCAATGAATAAAACGCCATAATTTGAATGGACACTCTGCAAGGCAGATAGGCACATAAGTCCTGGTGTCTACTTTGCAGAGGGAAGAGTCAAAAAACTAATCCTTTTTGTTTACCTGAGTATCAGGTACTAGCAAATACAGTTTTTTTTCCTTTCTTATTGGTAAAAGAATGATCTATCTATCAGAAATAGAACAGAATTTCACATTCCCAGAGTTAATATTGCTTTGATGATTTTCTCACTTTTTCATAACAAAATTATGAATAATTTTCTTTCACAATTAGGAATAGCTGAATTCTCCAAAAAAATTATGAATAGTTTGCAGAATATTTCAAATGCAGATATGGAGTAAAAATACTACAAGAAGTGCGCTCTTTATGGTAATTTAAATATTTGTTCTGTGGAACAAATAAAATGGTGTTGAGAGAGCTCGAGTATAAAAAATATTAATAAATAAAACATTACGCTGCTTAGAATTTTGAGCCAACTTGTAAATTTCTAGGACTAAAATGTTTTATCAAATTGATGTTAACTCTCCAAGCTCTTTCTTAGACTGTAATAATAAAAACAAATGATGAACTAAGAAAAAAAGTAGAGACTTTTTTGCATGTCACTTTAAAATCTTAGGGAAAAATGATTATTTTTATTTAGCTAAAATGGGCTCACTGAAGCTTATTTATGTTCCTAAAAGCGGATTTATTTTTGATGGAAGTCCGTTTTGGATTAAGTTTGGCCTGCTGAGGATTGTTAAATCACAACACACACCAACAAACAAACAAAAGAAGCAAGTTCAGTGAATAAGAAATACGAAATAGTATAAATAAAACTATTGCTGGGCGAGTCGAATTGTTTTTCTCCCAAAGGAGCAACAGAGATCTAAAATTATCTGGAACGCACTCTAACAAATAATGTTACAGAAAAAGTCTATTATAAATTATATGCTCCACACAATGAATGTACAGTTCTATAGCCAGCAAAGCTGCTAATATAGCATCTGAAGTATAAATATTATACGTCGCTTAAAGGATTTCCAAATTTAAAAGTTAGCAATAGATTTAGAAGCCAGTCTTTCTTTGGAAGGGAAAGAATCAAATATTTTCTTACAGAAAAGCTACAAATTATTTGTGTGAGTTAAAGGACAAGGTTAAAATGTTAGACAAATATTAATTCCAGTTTTCTATATGCAGTGCACAGGTGCAACTGGAACAGCATATTATATGGTATAATCATTAAATTCATTCAACCAGACCTTAGAGAGTTAAAAACATATATTCTGAGGAACAGGACTCCTCGGTCCAAAGAATGAGAATGAAACAGTGCAGAATATTTGTGTATCAAGGTGATTCCAGTTTCCAACTGGGAAAACAGGACTGTTAACACCCACATCCCCTGACAACTGTCCAATTATGTATATCACACTTGGCCTACTGTTTGCAGTAGAAGTAATCAATAAAGGATGTGGTTGAGTGAACATAGATTTTGGTTGAACCAATGCATGAAAACTTAATCATTTACTCAGAGAGAAAAAATCAAATAGAGCAGAGATGAAACAGCCACTAAGGGGTTTGTTGATTGTGCCACCAAGTTTGTGGGCCACAGATGAAAGTAATAAGGCAAATGGAATCAGTGACAGGAGAAAATGTAAAAAGCTATTCTTAATTTCATGAATTAATAGAAATGTTTTGATGTATTTTAGGGGTCATTTTTAGGAAATTTTGCATCAAAGCCTGGATGTTCCATTTTAAAGAATATATGAAAATTACTAGGGCATGTCATTTCTCTCAAGCAAGAAGAAATTAATTTTCAGCTATAACAGAAAGGTAATTTGCACACTTGAAATTTGCTACTGATTGATTTAAAGATGGCCACTGTGAAAAGTTTTCTAGGAAATAATTTAACTCAAGTTTGCAAGAAAATTTACAATTGGTAAGGAATAAAACCATGCTAATAGTGACCAATATGTTTTGAATAATTCTCATTTTAGTGATTCCCTACCCTCTCCCTGCAACCCAATATTCTTTTAAAAAGTCATCCTGATTATCTTGTAAAGCTGTGACATTTTGGTAAATTAGTTATTTCAGTAAATGAGGCCAAAAAATGCTGTAAGGAAAATTGGGGCTTTCCCTCGTTTGTATTTACTCAAATTGTCTGTCTACACGTAATAGTAATGTTTGCTTGGTAATTTCTCAACTCTCTCTTTCTTTTATGAACTATAAGTCTGGCTTTCATAGCTGTGTCATTGGCAATTGTTTTTATTTTAGAATATCAATTCTTTTTTCACTAGTATTCCAAGTAGGAAAAAAAATCGTAAATGCTTATTTTCTATTATGCTGTTTAATATTATTCAGACCAACAACAAAAATAACAAACCCTGTGCACTATTAAAACCTTCCTCAGTAATGCTAATGCCAGGTCTAGAATAACCAAATGGGCAACTCTATATGACTAAATCCTATGTGGTGTGTTTTTCAATTGAAGCCACAGTATAAATTCTTATAACTGTTTTAGAAGCTTCCAGTCTTAAAGCTTATTCACCTTTCAGTGCATGCTCAGCTGATGGCATTGACATGGCTTCCTCTTCCATTTCCTCTAAAGAGATAAAATATATTTATAGAGATAGGGCTACCATTAGTGAGACTTGTGCAATTGCACAGGTTGGGAAAAAGAGATTTAGAAGTGATACTAAGCTTCATATGCAGCTTGATTTATTTCTCAGCTGCCACTAGCATAATTTCCTCTATTTTGGTTGTGCTCCATTTCTTTTGCATGTTGCTGCTAATCTGAGGACAGTTTAGGACTACGAAAGGGATATATGTACGTGTGTGTGTGTGTGTGCGCGCGTGCGTGTGTGCACATATCAAAGAACACCAAGCCCTTGAAGAGAAATTGTCTAAAAATGACCACAAAATTTATATCAGAGTGTTTCTAGTAATTAGTGGGCTTGATTTAATAAGGCTTCTCAGATATCCAGGTGATGTCATCTACATGTATAGAATTTTTGTTTTTGAAACATCTGTCTCTAGAGTTATTTTGCACAAATGGTGAAAAAAATATGCTAAGGATTATACTCCCCTGAGTGCCTGTCCATAACCACCAACA